ACCCTTCAGTCTGCCAGCTGGTGCTCTAACCACTGAGAAAAAACGGCCAGGCCTAGCAGCTTCCCTCTTACTGAAGGCAGCAACCTTATTATAGCCACAGAACTCCTGCTTGGCACCTAGTTGGCATTCAACAAATAGTTGATGAGTGTGATTTATTCTTCCTTATCTTAGACCTGTGCAATTTTGTTATCCAGAATATCAAAGAAATGGCAAGATTTATTATAGACTTGGAATTCGTTGGTGGTCTTGCTTGGCCAGGAGCCCCCTGGTTCATGGGTTAGGTCAAGCACAGGAGCGAATAAAACTCTTTTGAGTATCTACAATATTAGACATATGTATTGTTTCACTTTAATTTTTACAACCATCTCTTGTGAGGACAGTGTATTATCTTTATTTTGTAGATGAGGAAACTGATGGCCAGAGATCTAAAGGGACTCCCTCAAACTCACATGGTTCAGAAATGGTAGAGTTAGGATACCACAGAAGTCACTCAGATGTCAAAATTCCGGGTCTGATTGGAATTATGGGGAAGACTGTGGCATGCTCATTTTTTTAAAAAACATGAAATTTTGAGTAGGCCCAAGTCAGAAATCAAAATGAACAGCCCTGAGGGCACTGGAATGAGGGCAGCATATGAAATAAAGTTCAGGGGTGTCGAGTGTCCTACAGCAGAAAAGAAATGGAGTCTACCCAGTCTTTCTGTTCCACTTTTGATGGAATTTATATGTATTGAGTAATGCAGGCATAAAATTAAACAGGATAAACCATCCCATTTCCTTGTTTCTCCAGTTACAATGATATGCAAACTAGTCTACTTCCTTTTTTGACTCTTACTCCAAAGACCATGAGTAAATATGTGTTTGGCACAGAGGCTCTTAAAGGGGTAGGAGTATTTACTTGAGGGGCCTGTGCAGGGACTGGACTGCAGGGGAAAGCAGGCCTAGATGACTGGTTTCTTGGTTCTTTTGAATTATCTGAGAGGCTGAGGCTGGCTTGGTGGAGTGATCCCTGTTAATGTTACACTTTGAAATTTGTTTTTAAAGTCTTGTTTTAATGTCTCTGTAAAGTAAATCCACCCCTCCCCACACTGCCTACGTATGTGCTTAATGTGAGAATAATGCAAAATGGAACATGGAAGACAACTGCTACATACGAATTGATGAAGAAAAGGAGGGAACATGGCATTTCAGCATGGGGGTTGGTGGCAAGTCCTACATCCCATGAGTCTGGGAAAAGGGAAGTACTCACTATACACACTGAGAATTAACCCCCCACTGCAGTAAGCACTAGCCAGTTTGACCGAGGACCAGAGCTTGGCAAGGCATGGTTAAACTTGCAAAAGACTCAGAGGGAACATAAAAAGAATCACCAAGTTGTTGAACAAAAGGGCAAAAGTAAAATAAACAACCAAACAACCAAAATACACATCCCAAAACAGAATACCCACAGTGTTTGGGATCATTTCACCTAGAGAACAAAAAGCCTGTAACAAGGTCGAAACAATGCTGAGATGGTAAATTCATCTCATGTCCTATACATGTAGGATACTCCGGTTCTAAGCACCTGGAGGGAGACCAGGTGAGTGATGTCAACAATCACACTTTCATTGAGATGTCTATTAAACACCTTTCTGGTGTCAGTCACTGGTTATTGTGGGTACCATGGGGGATAGAGAGACATGGTTAATGCCCTCCCTGAGCTTAGCAGCGGTTCTCAACCTGTGGGTCGCCACCCCTTTGGTGGTCGAACGACCCTTTCACAGGGGCCGCCTAAGACCATCCTGCATATCAGATGTTTACATTACGATTCATAACAGTAGCAACATTACAGTTATGAAGTAGCAACGAAAATAATTTTATGGTTGGGTCACAACATGAGGAACTGTATTTAAAGGGCCAGAAGGTTGAGAACCACTGGCTTACAGTCTAGTTTAAGGAAGCAGGACACGATGTGACAAGTGCCAAGTCAGTGTGACCAGACAATGTGACAAATGCAAAGATACAAGCACAGGTTGCCCTGGGAAGCAAATAAGCAGGATTCAGGAGAAATTTTCAAACAACTGGGACTCTGAAGGATAAGACCAGTGATGGTTAGTTTTATGTGTCAACTAGGCGAGGCTATAGTACCCAGTTATCTAATCAAACACTTACTTAGGTGTTGCTGTAAAAGCATCTTTGTAGTTGTGGCTAACATCTACCACCAGTTAACTTTAAGGAAAGATTACCCTAGATCCGTGGTCGGCAAACTGTGGCTCGAGAGCCACATGCGGCTCTTTGGCCCTTTGAGTGTGGCTCTTCCTAAGCCTTAGGAGTACCCTAATTAAGTTAATAACAATGTACCTACCTATATAGTTTAAGTTTAAAAAATTTGGCTCTCAAAAGAAATTTCAATCGTTGTACTGTTGATATTTGGCTCTGTTGACTAATGAGTTTGCCGACCACTGACCCAGATCAACAGAGGTGTAGAAGGTGAGGGGAATGTAAAATACGTAAGGAGAGGGAAATGATGCAAACCCATTGCCCCCAGAAAAGCAACTGTAGTGGCATGGACTAGTGGTTTACATTACGATTCATAACAGTAGCAACATTACAGTTATGAAGTAGCAACGAGAAAATAATTTTATGGTTGGGTTACAACATGAGAAACTGTTTTAAAGGGCCAGAAGGTTGAGAACCACTGCCTTATATAATCAGTTGAAGGTCTTAAGAGCAAAAACGGAGGTTTCCCAGAAAGGATGAAATTCAAGCCTGAAGTATCAACTCAACTGAGTTTCCAGAGTTGCCCTAGGGGTTTCGGATGGATTTGCCAGTCCCACAGTCCTGTGAGCCAATTCCTTAAAATAAATCTTTTATACACACACCCTGTTGAGCTGTTTTCTCTGAAGAACTGCACTGATAGTGTCTTAGTCATGTAAGCTTGGGTAAAGGATGGGGAAGGTGTGGGGGGGAGTGACAGTACCCAGGAATCGAAGTGATCAGGAAGCACATTATATGTGACCTAGAGAGTCTGAAAGGGTTTTAGGACTGGGAGTGAGAGGACCAGATCCACATTTTAGAAAGCACGTCCGATTATATTGCTCTTGAGAACAGAAGTGAGGAAAAACGTGTTTCAATTCCAGCACGAAGGAATTCCTCACAAGCAAGTCCTTTTTACCAGCAGAAAGAGGTGCTGACTCTACTTGGGAATCGAAAAACATAACTTGACGTTTTTAGTCACTGGTGGGCACAGTCTTGCAAAAGAATGACATTGTTCTTTTTCCAACCAGGAGTCTGTCTGCTCTACCTTGTCTCCTTCGGGGCTTGTAGCTTTCACCGGTTTCTCACGTCTATAGCTTTCACGAGGAGGCTCCCCTGTAACCGGGTAAAGATTCCAATCTGGCCACGCAGCCTTTCTGCGAGATAAACGGTGTCACCCAGCGGTGGAGGTGGGAGGGTGGAGGTCAGCCGGGGATTCCGGCTGCCCAAGTGGAAAGGAGGAGTTCACCAAGGGCCAGAAGCCCCGCCGCTTCTTGCGTGTGGGGAGAAGACTCGCCTGCCACCGCTGCAGCCTCAACTCTGCGGATCCCTCCTCTGCAGGTTCGCTCCCCGCACGCGTCGCGTCCCCAGGAGTTCAGCTGCCCCCGCGCGCGGCGGTC